TTTTTTTATATAAAAATGGAAGTTCAGAAACACCAACAGTAGATTTACCATTTTTCATTTAGACGAATCTTTGATAAGAAAACTGCGTCGAGCTACAATTTTACCTCATAACTGACATCGTCCAGAATTTTCACTGTAGGTCTTGCTGGATATGTGAAATGAACGTTTGTAAAGCTTAGTCTTCCAGTAATCTCTTCTGGCGTAAATCCTTCCATCTTGGAGCTGTCTATGTCCGGTACCTACAGATAAAATAATTAATTTTTTTTCAAAAAAAAAAATCAGCCATGCGCTGTTGATTCTGACCCTATCAATGACAGCAAAAATATCCGCCGCAGCAAGTTTTGCGCCAAGAATCACACCCATTTGTGGAATGGCATCTCCAAATCTTCTTGTACCAACCAATACTGCCCAAAATACGGCGAAAACTGTTCCCGGACTTATTTCATCTTTCACTACAAGGGTGGTCCCATACCTAAAAGGTTATGGTTGTGAGAAAAGTTATCTCTAGAGCTTGTTTACCAAAATGCAACAGCCATAGCAGCAAATAGTAGAAAAACGTTTAGTCCAGCAAAAACTCCCAGCACCACTCCCTTATGGATTCCTAGTTTTCGCGCTGTCTTCAGCTCTTTTTCATATCTGTGAAAGTGTAAATTTGTAAAGAGTTTTTTGAATAGTAAACTACCTGTGTATTTCGAATGGCTGTGCATTAAAGGACATGACAGTACGAATCCCAGAAATGACTTCGTTTGCTAGTCCACCAGCCGTTGAATATGCATAAGTTTCAGATTTTGAAGCTCTTGAGATCATCTGCAATCAGATCATTTCTTCAATTCTTCTTCAAATTTAGTAAAGTTTTACTCTAGAAACTTTTAAAGGATTATCACTTTTTTGAATATTATTGTACATTTCCGCGCTCGAGTTTTTTTGACGGCACAATAATGAATACTTCAAACTTTGTCATAAAAATGATTGATTCAAATTTTCAGAGAAAAAATATTACCTTAGCCGAGATGATCATGGCTGCTAGAAGAACCGGTACAGTAATCATCATCACCAATGTCATTTTCCAGCTGAAAACATGGTTGTTAGATTCACTCACTGTCAGTACCTTGGATTTTTTAGGAAAAATCGCGCTCATTAGAATGGAACAAAAAAAAGAAGCAGAATTTATATCTTTTAGTTTTATACATGTGAATGTTATTGGGAAACATAAGTCTTGTGCCAAAAATTTGGAAATTTCATGGTCTTCACCAACTTTGAATAACCCTTTTCACAAGAGATATTAGGAAAAGAAAATTCTACACTTTTCAAAATTATTTGAAGCAGAATATATCATTGCTTTATCGCAAGCAAGCTGATAAAGGTGGTTTTTTTTCCAGATTCGTTGGCTAAAGTTACCGGAATGTCCATTAATTCCCATTTTAGTTTTATTTTTACATTCGTGCTGATACGTTTCGATGAATACTCTCTGTTTTGTTCGACTTTTTGCATTCAAGCCAAAAAAATCCCTCCCTTGTATTCATTAGCATGATTCTATTTGACTGTGTCACGAAAAATGACTAACGTGCTTGGGAAAATTCCTCAAACATTTCTAAAACGTATTTTCAAGTTTTCTAGTGCATGACTTATATATCAACCTAGCTCAGCATATTTTACCTCAGCTAAAACTATAATCTTCTAAATCACATTTAAGTACCGTATTAGGACTTGCAAAAGATGTCAAGAAAAATTGCATCTGTATAAAATTCATAATCTTACCTCAAGTAAAAACCAAGTGCTATTCCACTGATGAAACTTCCTAGCGCGGAAATGAGCAAACCCATTTTGTCACCAATTCCAGCCTTCAATTTTTCTGCTCCACTAAAATATAGCTCAAAAATCTCCCTTCATTTTAGTGAAGTTTCTAACCTGCTCATCCGATTTGTCAATGATCCGACTTGTTGGGTGTCAAACCAAGACATATCTTGACGCATTACCGCTCTCAGATATCTTTTTCGAATGCAGTGAATACGACGCTCACAAAGAATGAGCAGACAGGCATTCTAAATAAGATAAAAATTTTGCTGATGTTTTTGAGTGCTGAAAAATTTGAAAATCTCACAGAAAAATATCCAAGAATTAGCAGTATAAGGGCTAAGTAGAAGTACAAGCTACAGAAATATAGTACGTCGCTTGAGAACTCGTCCATGTCCAGTTCACTTTCTGTGAGATTGCGTTCACCAGTAATCAAAGTGTCAGCCAATCCTAAACAGTAATTTTTCGCGACTCAGTTATCTTGCAATGATATCTTTGGGCTTCTAAAAAAA